TCCTTCCTAACACAGTATTTTAGGGACTGGTTACCCAAACTTCAACTCCTACTTTTAGTGTTTGCTAATCCTTATTTCCCTACCTTGCATTCTTTCCTTCAACATATGTCACTAGAAACATCAAAATACTGGACAAAATGACACACTACAGGTGAAGAGTAAGAAAGCAGAGTTCCAGGTACAAGTGAGTTTGTCAGATTTATTCATCAGTGACATAGTTGTCACACATCATTTTTCAGTATGGATTCATGTCCAGTCCTGCTTAGCCTTGAAAGGGACAGTGTGACGAGGTTCACAACCCTGGGACACCGTCAGCAGGGCATGGATCTCTGTGAGTGCTGATGGTTGCTATGGCATGGCATAAGGCTTGTTTGTATAAAATTATATGTATATTACTTCATGTTCCTCCTCTGGGAAATGTTCTCCCTGCCAAGGTTATGGGGGAATGTTAATACCAAGATTAATGACTCCATGGTAATTAGAAACAGCAGGAGTCCAGGAGGCAAGGATGTCTCTATGTCTCAGCAAAATGGTAAACACTGAGACCTTTAGGTCAGGCCCTATGGATGTGGGAAAAAACTCTGAAAACATGAGTTCAAAATATATAATTTTTCAACTATGCCAAATATAAGGATGTTATATGAACTATATGAATGGCTTCACAAACCTAAAAGAATAGAGATAGTTGCACTATGTATGACCCAGCTTGTCAGGAAGATACAAAGATAGGCAGATTTCTGAGTTCAACATCAGCCTAGATCAGAGCTAGTTTGGGCTCTGGCCCTTAAATAATAATCTCAGGATGAGATCCCACACTGTGTGCGTTTACAAAGGCAGGCAGATCTCTGAATTCATTTGCAATGTTAAAAATATGTGCTTGCTGTCTCTTTCTAAAACTCAAGGGGCTGGGGTCATGGGGTGCTGATGGGGTCATGGGATAATCAAAAGGGCACCTGGGATAATGATTGAATTGACATGTAAAATAAAAGGGTGGGCTTTGAATCTTTAAGAGATGAGCTATACAGAGAGCTTTCTTAAGAGAGAGCTGTGTCAAGAGAATGCTGTCTAGAAAGCTGTCTTGAGCAGAACATAGGCCATCAGTTGTAACCCAAGATTTGACTTTGAGTTGTTTCTCTTACTGCTCTCAGACACCCCTCCTCAGAACCCCTCTCTATACTGAACTGAGGCTGGTCCTTGACAGATTTACAAGAGTTTCATGAAAAAGAAGCTTAAATTACTACCTTGTAGAGTCTGTGTATTACTGTTAAACAACCATAATTCGAGTATTAAATCTACTGATTACTAATATTGCTATAAGTTAATGAGAATTGGTGATTTATTATTTAATCTGGGACATGGAAAAAAATCAGAGAAAATAATATTTCATGATTTTAGTCAAACAAATAATAAAGAGAAAAATGAAACAACCATTAAAGCAACCTTTGGTGTCCACCAACATCCTGTTTTCAGGATGTTTCAGGAGATTCAGGTCCTTCCCCAACCTGACATTCTAGTTCTTTCAAAGCTGATCGAAGGAGAGGGCTCCTTACCCATGAGTGGGCCTGTCATAGTCACATGTCTCTTACATATAGATTTATGCATTGACAACAAACAAAAAAGTGAGCATATTCATTGAGATTATCACACAGATGGAGAGGAAGGCTCTTCCTTGAAATATGACACTGAAGAGTAAAGATTTGGGGTTTCTATTGCCATATTTTTTACAAGTTGAAAAGAAGAGAAAAATGGAGCCACAAAAACAGAGCAATGTTTGTGTCTGAGGCTCTGTATTTGGCTATCTGTGGACAGATCTTCTGACTTTCTATGTGCCAGATTTTCAACTATGGCATAGGTAAACTTGAGCTGGCTGTTAGTTACTTGCAAATGGAAAATCTTTGCTCTATATTTCTTTTGTCTAAATTGGGCAAGTCAGCTATACTTTAGTCTCTGAGGGAGACTATTGAAGCAGTTTCCTAGTGTTTTGAGTCACAGAACACTAGACAGATGTATTAAGATGTGTCTTTTCTTATTCTTTCACAGGGAAAGCCCTAGAGCCTGTCAGTGTGATATATAGTTACTTGAGTGGGTTTCTTAACCAGCTTGTTTTTCCCTGCTCATAGTAAATCCGTCCTTCCATGTTATCGCCTGTATTAGCTGTCAGTTATGAAGATAGACAGATCATATCTTCCCTGCCTCTCTCTAGACAGAATTTATATTTGATAATTCATTTTGTCTGGGGTGTTCGTACATACATTAACAAATATTCTGAGTTGAAAGATTCTATCCATCAAACACAAGCAGAATACATTTTTTGTTGTTTTTTCATTTTAATAGTTGTTCTGCTTAGTTTTTGTTGTTAACTTGACACATATTCAAGTCACCTAGGAAGAATAAACCTTAGTTGAAGAACTGCTTCAATAAGTTTGGCCTGTAGCTATGTCTGTAAGAGATTATCTTGACTGATGATTGATATAAGGAGACTCCACCCACTGTGGGCAGCACCATTCCTAGACAGATGAATCTGGACGGTAGAAGTGAGCAAGCTGAGTGAGTGAACCTGTAGACAGTGATCCTCCATGGTTTCTTCCTCAGTTTTTCCTTTAGTTCTTTCCCTGACTTCCTTTAATGACAGACTGTCACCTGGAAGCATGGCACAAGTAAACCCTCTTCTCCCCAACTTGCTTTTAGTCAGAGTATTTTATCACAGAAACACAAAAGTTACTAGAATGGTAGTTTAATATTCTTGGGCATGGATTTGTAAAAACACTCTAAGTGTATGAAATGATCTCATAAATGGCCACCAGTTTCATGGCTATGAAGCTTTACTTTAAGTATATAGTTAATGATATTTTATTATTTATAATGTTGAACTTTTTCAACATTATATGGAAATGGTTTTAGTTTTCTTCTTAGTGTGAAAACAATGGATTTTATTATATATTCATTGAGTTTTACTTATTTTCATCTTCTCTTTCATTGCCTCGCTCCACCTTGATCTCTTTCTTTGACTCAAATATATTTCCTCTTATGTTTTTTGATATTATGTGCACATGCATACACACACACACACACTCACGTGTGTATTCTGTAGCTGAGAGATAGTATGATGTTTTTCTTGTGAAGTTGGCTTATTTCACTTAGCATGATGGTCTTCAGTTATGGATGAGGGTTCTTTAACATTTCCTTATAAATATTTTATTTCATCATAAAAATTAAATATTTATACATAGTGACTGATTTCTTTAATCAAGAACTATATAGAGTATGACTAAATTATTTTTAGGAAAAACTATAGATATGTTTAGGAACTAAACTATAGATAGTTTCCTAAAACTAGAAGTATTTGTAGGAAAAGCTATAGATATATTATATGCATATTATATGTTGTAATCAAGGAAATTAACATATAACATTTGTAAAAATTTCTTTGAATATCTCTGTTTTCAAAGAACTTATCATTCTCAATATTTTTATTGAAGAAAAAAAAGTATCAAAAAGACATTGCTTTTTGTCTTGAGTTATGTGTTAACCATATTGACATGGAATTGTGTTTCTCTTCAAGCCCACTTTTTCTTCCTTTTATAAGAACTTAGAAGGTAGAGGAGCACAACAATTCATTTTCTCTGCCTCTCTGGAGCTGGCTTTCAAACATGCACCACAGACTACACTTTGTTTATATAGGACATTTAGAGAGTCCCATCTCTCATTGTTGTGACTAGGAGTCACTCCTGAGCATACAGATGGGAAGCATCTTTTATTTTGCAGATGAGAAATTCAATGGACTTTGTCTCCAAAATGTCAAGTGATGAACCTGCTAGGGCCTCTTAATTGCCACTAATAGAATCTAGTTCTAGATTACAATAAGAAAGAAAATTTGGTAGCTCACATAATTATAAGGGTCAAAGAATGAATGAATTCCTATATAACAATACAGTTCTTTGTGTACCTCAGTAATTTTCCCTAGGTTGACATGCAGTATAAAAATTGGGCATTGGTGACAATGGGGTCTGTCGTTTTTGCTCTCATAATTGCAAATATAAGGGGAATATATTTTCTTGATTATTTAAGCGCAGTCTCTGGGGAGGACACTGTGGGATGGCTTGGTTCTTGCAGAAAGCCATGATGCTATCACCCTTCCACTGGACAGTATATGTGGGTTAGGCTGAATTATGTGGCACATCTATGTGAAGAAGGTGGGCGAAGTGATTGACAGTTCTGTGAGGTTGGGCGAGACCTCTACAAGTGAGCGACAGGCTGAACTTGTATGCTAGTGATAATGGTAGTTATGATGATTTTCGATAGGAAAGGGGGCAGACACCATGTAAAATATCTTATAAATTGTGGTCTCCACCAATTACTGGATCTACTTTGTCTTTGAAGAAGAGAGGTAGAGATTCTATCTGAGAAGAGAGGGAGGACGAAGACCAGAAAAGAGCCCACCATCAGATGTGAAGTGGCTTAGCTATTGCTCTATACCATTGCTCATACATATCCATGATATCTTGTCCACAAATAAGAAAAGTAAATTTACACGTAGCTTGTGAAATATTGCAGAGTAGGTAACTGCTTCATATCTGAGGTATTCTGTAAGGCACCTGCATTGAATTCTTAAGCTGTCAGTGAATAGCCTTGTTTTAAGTGTGAAGGAAGAGTATCAAAGACAGCAAGATAGCTCAGTGGGTATGGGTGTTTTCTGACAAATACCTTTAGTCCCAGCCCCAGGGAGGCTGATGATGGAGGATCAAGAGTTCCAAACACCCTGAGCTATATAATAAGACTATGTATGTTTGTGTTTGAATTTGTTTCTCTCTCTCTCTCTCTCTCTCTCTCTCTCTCTCTCTCTCTCTCTCTGACAGACTGACAGACAGAGACAGAGATACAGCACGCCTTTCCAGTTGCTTCATTTATCCAGCTGGCTAACGCTATTTCTGATGTCCAGCACAGTCACAGTTTTCTAAGCTCAAGCCTCTTCTTTCTGTTTGTCTCATTTTACCTTCTAGGTGGACAAGAAGATCGTGAGAACTGAAATAGGAGTTCTCCTGCGTCTCTCACACCCGAACATCGTAAGTGGCTGTTAGCTTACTGTTTCATAGCATTCCCAAAGCTCCGGGATACGCTCACTGTTCTCCACTGTCAGTGTTGATGAGGAAGAAGAGTCCTTCCTCTCCACGGGGCAGCAAGGCCTAACTCAAGCCTTACCTCAGCACATTCAATCAGTTTAAGAATAGATGGACTAGCAGTACATACCACGTCTCTGTTCATGCATAAAAGGAAGGAAAAAATGGAGAGATTTGTTTTATTCTAATGAAACACTGGCTTTCTCCCTCTTTTGTTTGCCTAACTTTTTAATATGCTGTTGCCGAAAAGGCCATTGAAGCAAAAGGCATTGCCTTCCAAAGTCATTTCAGCCTTTGGGAGAGGGGCCGCTTCAGAAATAATGCAAAGATGCAAATACATGATTTGCGTGAATGGGAGAACTAACCAGGTTTCAGAAGCTCTCCTGTCAGGACGCCTCTGAGAAAAAATGAGTGAAAAGCTTTATGGAATCAACGAAGTGAAAAAGAACAAAATCACTTTCGCAGCAGCATCTTGATTTTATAAATTAAACCATCTACTTATTTTCTTTTTTAAAAAAGAAACCTATTTATGTGCAGGGTGTGTGCAATGCTCAAAGCAAAGTGCACACAACTTGATATATGCATTAAAGGTGCACTTAGCTACACAGCAGCAAATATTTTTCTTGTAATAAATAGGAAGATGGACTGTAGCACTGACTCATCAATCTTGGATTGCCCCCCAGGACCCAGGCTCCACACAGTCCTTGTACTGGTGATTTCTCCATCCTTGGTGCCTTGGCTTCTCACCCTGCACCTTGTCTTCATGGACCCATAGTGCTAGCTGCACATTTCCCTAAATACCCAGGTTGATATTCATGGAAGAAATTGGAAGGGCCTCGTCAGCAGAGTCAAATGAGAAAAGATTCTCAGAAAGGACTGCAGCAGAGTTCTCTTGAAACTTTGCTGGCCAGAGCTAACTAAAAATGCTTCCCAACTACATCAAGGCTTGTTGATCAGAGAGCAGGGTTGTCACAAGTGGCTTAGACTGCTGTCATCCACAGTGTGGGGCCAGGTGCCCAGCTTCTCAGAGCTAAAGCAGAGTTCTGTGTGCAGTGAAGTATGAGGACACTTTGAGTAAGCAGTTCTCAAGTAAGTCATACTCAGTTCCCACCATCACTTCTCCATGTTCTCCTTCTGAGGAAGCCACTGTGGAACACCCCTCACCTGTAGATCGGTGCTGGCTTCTGGATTCTCCAATTTCTGGGGAGATGTCTACATTTGGTTGGATTATCTAAGTGTGACAGAAACCTGGTGTGGTCAGTCAATTCTCTACCACCACTCTGTCCAAGAACCCTTCATAAGCAAGAGACTGTACCTGCTGAAGCCTGCTTTTATATACAGACTTTATCCCCACCCCCACCCCCATCCCAGGGCTTCCTCACAAACTAATTCCAAACCCATTGTTTCCAAGATAAAGCATTGTTCATCTCTAGCAGCCCTGGTGCTTCCTAACAATTTTGTTAGGTCTTGTATTTGATTCTAGTGAAAAGAAAGGAAGAAGGAAGAGAGGAAAGGAGAGAGGAAGGAAAGGAGAGAGAGAGAGGGAAAAATTGCAACATTTGAGTAGAATTTAGGAAGTGTTATTAAGAGATTCATTTCAAAATGAAAAACGTCAAAATTTAGCAGGACTTTTGAAACAAGTGAACTTTCTGACAAAATCAGCAACTGAGAAATAGAGTGGCAGCTGTCTGCTAGTGCTAGAACAAGGGGCTTTCCCTGAGCTAACCCAGCCATTGGTAATGCAGACTATTGTTTATCCATAATTTTAGATGTTTTCAAGGAAGATGGAGATGAGCCATTGTTGATGTTCTTTCTTTTTTTTTTTTTTTTTTTTTTTTTTGGTTTTTCGAGACAGGGTTTCTCTGAGTAGCCCTGGCTATCCTGGAACTCACTCTGTAGACCAGACTAGCCTCGAACTCTCGAACTCAGAAATCCGCCTGTCTCTGCCTCCCAAGTGCTGGGATTAAAGGCGTGCGCCACCACCGCCCGGCGTTGATGTTCTTTCTTAATGTACATCTTTCTCCCAGATAAAACTCAAGGAAATATTCGAAACTCCCACAGAAATCAGCCTGGTCCTGGAGCTGGTCACGGGAGGAGAACTGTTTGACAGGTAAGTTAGAACTGGAGGGCAAAGCAATAGAAATATTTGCTCTGTATCACCAGAAGAATCATGGAAAGGAAAATTTCCTAAGATTTTTCATAATAGAAGGATTATGTGAATTGATATTTTTCTTAAAATAAATCTTGAGAGGAATGTTGAAGAGAGGTAGTTTGTAATTGGTAAGATAAATAAGTAATTAAAAAAGAAAAGCACTATATCAATTTACCTTCGCAAGCATTTATGTTCAAAAAGTGGGATTTTATAAAATCACATATTTTAATTTTAATTAAATAGTAGCATTTTATGAGATTATTTTTGTGAGAAAACAGTTAAAGTTGTGTTCTCTGTCATGATCCAAAAACTCATAAAAATCAATATTTTTCAAATAATTATCTATAACCTATTCTCTCCAAGGACAGGTGTCTATGTAAAAAGTTTCACATTGCAGAGGAAAATGTGTCTTGCTTTGGTCCACTGTTGCCTTTTGAGGTGTTTGCTCCTAGCTTATCTCTCAAAGATGTTTGAGAATGGGAAAGGAGAGGATGCCCCCAAATCTGGAAGAACTATGAGTCAAGCCAACTTTAGGCCTCCATAGTTGTCTCTCCTTCCTGCCTACTCAGGAAAATTATGGATGGGCAGGCTGTGGGGGATTCTTGGCTATGTTCATTAGGACAACAAAGAATGAAAGTGAGGCTAGCAATACCAGATAGCTATATAGTAGAGGTGGTAAGAAGCTGGTGGAAGGGTTTTGGTAAAAGAATGAAGTAGAGATAAGTAACTGGATTCGGGGAAATCACAAGATTGAGTGCCCAGATCTTGTCAAAAGCTCTGTGAGTCTTTCCTGAATAAACGAACAACTATAACAGTAAATGGACTTGAGAAGAAAGGTGTCCCAAGGGGATTGCCTTTGAATGTTGAAAGAGGACACTACTTCCAGACTCCTGCAGTGTTATTGAATGAATATGTAATGTATTGAAACCTTAACTCTCAAAATAACGGTATAGAGGTGGTTCCTCTGTGAGGGAAACAGGTTGTCAGGAAGCCTGTATAGATAGAATTATTGGCCTTGGGAAAGAAGCCCAAAGTGGGTGCTCACTCCTTCCTCTTGGTGAAGGCACCCATGAAAGGCCTTTGTCTCTGATAAAGTCATCCCTCAGAAACAATCTGCTGGTGTCCTAGTCGTGCACTTCCTAATTATCTAGAATTATGAAAAATAAATGTCTGTTGTATATTATGTATGCTATAAGGCTTCCATCAACCCCTTTGCAGCAGCCCCCAACAACCAAGACAAACAAGTAGACTTGAAAGCTGTAAAGTCTGACTTTAAGAATAACGCATAAGGAGATAGACATGCATGAGTAACCTTCTGGTAGCAATTGTTTGTAGTTAAGTCTCAAAGTTCACAGTTCTGAATCCTGACTCTACCACTCAAGGGTAAGCTAATCTAGAGAAATGTACTTAACTCCCCTGAGTTTTGGAACAAATTTGAAGCTGTTCGGTGCTACTGAGAAGTCTTAGGTACACCAAACCCACTATAAGGATGGACTACGCACTCTAAAGTCATCCTGTTCCCATGTGCTTAGACACGATTTCTCTGGAGTATCACCAGTATTTATTTATAATGGCTCCTTTAATAACACCACTGTAAATGAATATTTTTATGATTATAGTCTTTGTCTAGGTACAATAATATTTATGGTAAGATCCTACTGGCTGTGGAGGCATGAATGCTCTCTAAGGAGACCTTGCATATTTCTCTGCTAATTATGCTCTATTAGATAGAAATCTCACGTTCTTTAATTATAAATGGTTGCAGATAAGAATCCCACGTGGAAGCTACCACTTACCGGCGGCTCTTAATGATTTCCCTACCACCTCTCTCCACTTGAATTAATTGCAATCAAGAGTCTCTTCTTCCCTTCTTACAAGGCATCTATGAGAGAATTTGGGATGAAATTTATTTTAGCTCTAGAGAAAAAACATAAGAACAGAAATGCAATTAATAAACTTAATTTGTAGAAATGAATGAAGTATTTCTGTTTCATAAAAGACTGACAGAGAACAAGTAAAGTACTCACCATGGTGCAAACCTCAGTGACTTTAAAATATAGATCCCCTGCCCCCCGAATATTGTTCACATTCTTGGCATGGTTGAGGTGACTAGACCTCTCCACTATACTGTTTAACTCACAGTTATTCTTAAATTTTATCTAGTTGAAATGAATTTTCCTTTATTAGTCAGGCTATTGCTTTTCTTTTCCCTGAGAGATTAAAAAAATTCCTAGTATTGCTTCTTTTTGTGCATTTAGATAAAGTTCTAATTTGTTAAATTGCAATGATGAGAATTTATTCCTAGTCTAGTGGTAGCTCGAACAGTAACTAATGAACAAGCTGAGAGCCGCTGATGGAGGGATAATCACGTTAGTGTGTTAGAGTCAAAGCGCTTGTATTTTATTAGAAAAAGATCTGTTCTGTGATGCTTATGAAAAAAAATGAAGCAGTCAAAGCCAGGTAGAATCTGTATTTCTTGTTGAATTTAAATAAAAAAAAACACACAGAATAAATAATTTAGGATTTTGAAATAAAATCAGTGCCTTTTCTATCTTAGAAAAGTCATGTCCATACATTTTATATAAAAGTCTGCTTAATTCTGATATTGTGGGTAAAAAAGAAGAAGAGTTCACTTCTTCTCAATCTTATTACAACTCTTAAAACCTTAACATCCTTCTCAGTAAACTTTCTAACTGAGCAAACTTGGAGCTTTCAGAAAAGTTTTCTTTTCTTTTTTCTTTTTTTCTCCAGAAATAATTGTATTTTATCTCCAGCCAATCCAGCAGTATCCTTGGGCTTCTAAGGATTAGCCTTAAAGGTGCCTCCTGCCTGCCTCCTCCCAATTTTGTCTTATAACTCCAATATCTGAATTCCTTATTTTGTTGTCCTGGCTTATATTTTTTATAAGGTTTTGCTCACCAATGCCAAACACTATATATACATAGAGATTGTAGAGCATGAAGCTTTGAATGTTGACTCCTCGAAGACAACAGATTTTTTTCTTTAACTTCTAACATAAAAACAAAACAGTTTAATGTGAAGAGGCACCAGGCTGGTTAAAGGGTAGGCCCTCAAAGGCCCTTCTGGTTTTACAAAGGTCCATAGATCCTTAGAAGGTCTACACATTCAGCCAGGTGGTTTTAGCAAAATGTCTCCTCCTTGACACCCCTTACATGCTGAATTCTGTCCCTCAGCTCTGGGCAGCTTCTCAGTCTGTCAGCTGTTTCTTCAGCACCAGAGGAAGAATAAATGCACTTGAGGGCAGGCCAGTTCTGATGGGCTTGTTTCCTTCTGAGACTTTGGCTTTGGAATTAAGTCTTTTTTTCTTTCTCTCTTCCTTTCCTTTCCTTTCCTTCCTTCCTTCCTTCCTTCCTTCCTTCCTTCCTTCCTTCCTTCCTTCCTTCCTTTCTTTCTTTCATTTTTTTTGTTATTTCATTTATTTACATTTCAAATGTTGTCTCCCTTCCTGGTTTTCTCTCTGTAAACCCTCGACCCATATCCCCTCCCCTTTGCCTCTATGAGGGTGCTCTTTCTACCCACCCACTCCCACCTCACCCCTCTACCATCCCCCTACACTAGGGCATCGAGCCTCCACAGGACCAAGGGCCTGCCCTCCCAGTGATGCCAGATAAGGCCGTTCTCTGCTACATATGCAGCTGGAGCCATGGGTCCCTCCATTGAATGAAGTCTTCCTTTTTGATCTCTGGTGTCTTCAAACAGAATTTTAAATGCTTTTAATTTATTTTTAACTTTTTAGCATTTTGTATGTGAATGCTCCATTTATAAGATTTCCAGCACTCCTCGTTACTACTCTCTCCACCTCACTGACTGCCTCTTAAATCCATGGCGTCTTTTTCTTTGTAGTTTTTGCACACACACACACACACACACACACACACATGCACACTCCCTACTAAATTGATTGAGTGTTCCCGTGTGTACTTTGCTCATGTTATTGGCTCACACACAAGGCTGATTTCCTTCACTATGTAGACATGTTTAAAGCCTGACTGCTTGAGATTGGATAACCTATCAGAAGGCTCATCTCTAGGTAAAACTGTTTCTTCATCTCTCAGCCTGTAGTTCTTCATCTATGGGTGAGATCTTATGAAATTTTTCCCAACCATATTGGCATGTTGATTGGTGTTACCATTATGCTTACTTGTTTTAGGCAGCCATATTGTTGACACTCCATAGCGACACCCTCCCTATCACATCTAGAAGACTCTACCTTATAGCAAGCATCCCATTCCTCTGGTTCTTGTGATCCTGTCACCTCTCTTCTGTATATGTGTCTCCTGAGGTCATTTATTCTGTCCATTTTGACTAGCTGTGGATCTCTGTAATTGTCTTCAGCTGCTCCAAAAAGAACTCTACTTATCTGTATATAGTTAGGATCCGTATATATTAGGATCAGTATTTAGAGTTAGAAAGTATATTGGATTAGGAAAATGGCAGTAGAAGGTTCTATAAGGTTCTCCTCTTGGGTCTGTGTCCTCTTGTAGCCAGCAATAGTTAGCTAGGTTAATTTTATTTAGTGTGTTTCATTTTCTTGCTAGGAGTGTACCTAATCACCATTGCTGAACAGACATTCCTATGTGGTTCAAAAGTTCTTTTACCAATACCAGTGTGTTTTTCTTTCCTTTTTTTTCCTTTTTTTTTTTTTGTATTTTTCTATTGGATATTTTATTTATAGTTCAGATGTTATCCCTTTACCTCATTCTCCCCCCCCCGCCCAGGAACCCCCATCCCATCCCACCTCCTCCTGCTTCTATGAGGATGTGACCCCACTCCCACCTCCCCACCCTTGAATTCCCCCACACTCGGCGTCTAGCCTTCATGGGACCAAGGATCTCCTCTCCCACCTATGCTCAACAGGGCCCTCCTCCCTTACATATACAGCTAGAGCCATGGGTCCCTCCCTATGTGCTCCCAGGCTGGTGGTTTAGACCCTGGGG